AAGTTGAGATTAATTTTGTCATTATATATTTTTTGAATTTTAATATTGTAATAAGAAAATAATAACAAATAAAGTAAATAGACTATAAAAATGTGTAGACTATAAAAATAAAATGCTTGGAATACAACTTAATTCATATGTATAGCTTGTATATGTTATAAATATTAACACATTTGTAAAAATATAACATAATATAACACTGTTAATACTTTTAAGCACTATGCGCATGTAAGATTATAGAGATGAATATTTCTTGATGCACAATTTGTGAATGTGCATGATTATATGAATCACCGACGAGATATTATTAAAGACCGACATCCTTACGGGAGTTCGCGTCCTTGTGAATATTGAAGTAATTAAGAGTAAAAATTGATAATATTGTACTAATTTTATAATTTATTAGTTTAGTAGACGTATTTATGCATTTAGAACTCAATAATACTCGATTTTTCTTTAAAATTATAATTTCAGTGTTATCGTCAAAGTTTGATTATCAACAGAGATGATAACTGCATAGAAAAAATTGTAATTCTTCTGCAATATATAGGATATTATAGCTTTACAAGTATGCATATTTATTTGTGAAACATTTATGTAATAAAAAATCATGAATTTAATAATGTATGAGTCAAATATTTATGTTAATAATAGCAAATTTATATTAATTGTCAGCATTCTTTAATTACCTCCGGGCCCTTGGGGCCCTTTTTATACCGCCGAAAATTTGCCCAGAGTTGATGATCTTTAATAGTATTGTAACGTCGTCGTCCGATTTTTCCCTCTATATTCTACCTTGTTAATGGTTTCGGGAACGCCGGCTTGAACCCGCGCATTTTTAATATAACTACTTTATAAATCTTATATAACTCTATAACTACTTTTATGACTATTTTATTATTACTATTTTATCATTATTGTATTATTTTAATATAAGTATATAATTGCGAATAACACAGACATGCCCAACGACATGCAAATATTTTATTAGTTTTAAATTACTAAGTCTCTATCATTATATTTTAATTCTGTTAACTATCTTTTATTATTATTCCATTATTCCCCTTTTTATATTGTTAAATATAAAATATAATTAATATTAAGAAAATTCATGTATCACACTGCGCGAACATCAAGTACCATGACGCCTCAAGAGGAGCTATCGATCGATGCTGGAAGTAAACAGAGCCGCATACCATGATTATCTATCCAAAATATTGAGTCTAACGAAAGGACCGAGGCATACAAAGAAGACTATCGACAACGCCCTGGCAGTTGCTAACTGACTCCCGTGCTGATCGCACGTTTTTATTCTACCGCGTAATCTAAATTTCATTCGCGTATATTCACCGAGTACACTTTAAGTTTCACTGCGTTTCATCTTTTAACAATATATTCACTGCGTTCACTGAGTTTTGTTCTAAATATATTCACTGCGTTCACTGAATTTTGTTCTAAATATATTCACTGCGTTCACTGAGTTCTATTTTAAATATATTCACTGCGTTCACTGAGTTCACCGCGTTCACTAAGTTCACCGCGTTCACCGACACTCAGTGTTATATGGTTTCGTCATTTTTTTTTATGAGCGAAAACCATTTCATCTCGATCAGTTTCCGCGCTCCGGGCGTCCCCTGGTAAAGTCTGTGCAGCAGATTGACCGGAAAACAAAGCGGAGCATTGTAAGTTCTAATCCAGGGCGTTACAGTATCTCGTCGGTGTATGAACCAAGTAACGATTTATCATCTGAAGTTGAAAAGTGGACGTATTACCCTCAGAAAAGTGGACGTATTATCGTCAGAGCTATGTAGTTTACGTCCACTTTGTCAGGGGACAGTAGTGTGCAGTATTTTGTAGTTACAGATTTTGGGCCGACATGTCCTCGCTTAAGTTTCTCTCTGCAGAGAGAATAACACCCGTATTCATAGTCCTTCCTCATTTTAAGGATGGAGGAAGTCTCCATGAAGGATTCCTCGATTCTCCAAGGCCTCCTTGTTTTATAAATGAATCTCAAGTCTGCCTTCCCGAAGGAAGGAATATTTTAGGGATTTTAGTAACCTACTGAAGACAATATGTCATAATATATAGTATATGCAAACCTAACATCATGAATTACGAATAATAAAGGTTATAAAGACATTGTTAATTAAATCGTGATTAAGCATTTTGCAACAGTTATTGATAAAAATAAAACTAATAGCGAATTTGATTGGACGTATTCACTACGCACTGATGCACATTAAAACTGTCGTACATACGCAAAATAACATAAATATATATTTATAAATAAACATCAAAATCGATTAAATTGTAAAATACTTAATATATTTTATTGTACTCTGTTAGGTAAAATATGTATTTTATAATTCGAAATATTTGCATTTTATTTTTATATTCAAATTAAATCAGTGTACAACGGCTTTAATATGCATCAGTGCTTCCAATTGGATTCGTCATAATGCTTATTATACGAAGAAGGAGAAAATACATTTGACGCAGTTTATTTCCGAAAAAAAAACTATCGAAAACAATTATCGACGCGACAGATTTAAATTAAAAGCTATCGAAAATAAAAAAACCAGTGTGATGAACTAAATTTGATGATTTGATTGGTTATGAAGGTTGCACCTCCTCCTCAAGGAAATTCGTATTCTTCTTTGAGAAAAGAGAGCTAATATGGTTTCTTGTTTGATCAAGGAAGGTTTATGAAACGTGAAATAAGAAACAAGGAATCTTTATTTCTCAAGGAAGGACTATGAATACGGGTATAAGTCCGGCACAGAGGTTATAAAGAGCAAAAATAAGTAAATAAAGCAAAATATTATAATATTATAATAAATACAAAATATCGAAATTATACGGTGAGAAAAATGCAAATAAATGTATTCACGTTCTAACAAAAAATTAATGTGTTATAAATATAGAAAGTAGAATAGTAGTACGAACAATATTTATGAGTATAAAAGTACTATGACAATAATTCACTATATTTACAGGATACACAATGCCTGTTGTGTAATGTATGTTTCAATTCATATGGAAGACAGGTAATACAATGCATTATTTTCCCAAGAATTGTGAAAGACTTGTGCGGTGATTGGTTCCATCATTTTTAGGGCGTCTGATTTCAGAGGGTCGATTGTGTATCTCGACATCTAGTGTAAATGATAAAAGTGAGCTCTCACTTAATTAGTAGCTTTTATCATAGTGGAAATGCGACATTTCTCACGTGACATTGCTCGACAAGAAATTTCTATGTCAAATTGTATCAAATGGTGTTAAAGTATATCGAGATTGGTTGAAATTTATCAAAATCCATTCTATTTAAAGACATAGATTATTATAGTTTCCTATAATAGACATTATTTTTATGCTTTGTATGGAGGAAAATGACAATGAAAATAATAAAATTCGCAAAATATTTAAATTTAATAAAAAAACGATTAATGGAATACTCAAGATCCATTTGAAAGATAGAGACAATACATTTAAAAAATTATATAGATTAGTATATAAATATATTAAGTATATAAATATGTAAATTATTTAAATAAGATGATGAAATAGCCTAAACAGTCAAAGCAAATCTTTATGTCTTATAATATTTTTTGCGTAAATTTTGAACTTTCCAGTTCAAACAAAAATTATGAAATTGAAAGATTATAAAATTTACTTAAAAGTATTATTGGACACTAAGATCCGCTTGAGTAATTGATCCGTATAAGTAATTTTATTATATTAGTTATTTGAATAATACACGTTCATAAATATCCTAATATTGAAATAGATTATATTCTGTTATAAATTATACAAAAGTTATGTATCACTTTGGTTATGTATCACTTGCATTTTGCACTCACGTCTGTGATTTTCACTCTTGTAGGGATATTATATTTTCACTATGCTCATAGCTAATCGCGCGTATTTTTTCACGTGAGATAAAAGTACGAGAAGTTAGAATATTCGGCAATAATACGCAATAGACCTCCTGGGAATCGATACTGTACCTTGAAACGAGGTGAAAATTACAAAAGTGCGCGAATTTACTAGAATACTGATAATTTCATTGGTCAACACCTAGTAAACTTGCTCACTTTTGTAATTTTCACCTTGTTTAAAAATACAGAATCGATCCTCTGATCCAATAAGAGGTCTATCTAAGACCGCCGGACTCTGTATTCTAGGGAACACCATTATTTATGCGTACTATTGCCCACTGACAAAGTGGATGTAAACTATTTACATAGTACAACGTCCACTTTTTTTAGGGTACATCGTCCACTTTTCAAGGCTAGAGATGATAAATCGATATTTGGCTCATATAATCATACTTCATTTAACACGATTATATGAACTAAATATCGATTTATCATCTCTGCTATGTAGTTTACATCCACTTTGTCAGTGGGCAGTAGTACACCGCAGCATTTTGCGATTACAGGTTTTAGGCCGTCATGTCCTCTCTCAGATTTCTCTCTCTGGTACAGATGTGTAGTGTTGTGTCAACGATAATAGTTTGAGCCGTCATGTCCTCTCTCAGGTTTCTCTCTGTCTGTACTCAGTCGAAGGCTATGGGTGTGTTTCCTTTTTATTAGCAGTGCAATTATCATATCACAACAGTGCACTGCCGCAGCTGTCAAAATTACTATGGTACTATTGTAACGTCGTATTTTGAAATGGCTTTGCAGTAGACTGGCAATAGTGTAAATAGACATGGCTAAACTACTAAATTGTCAATAAATTTTGAACAAAAACAGCAGCGATAGTTCTTCCAAAAAAGATGAACTAATAATGGATTACCAATTCAAGCAGTTTGATCTCGTATTAAAATTATTGGGAATGTACATTCATTTTAAGAGATTTTTTTAAATATGGTAAAAATACGGCTTTATTGTGAAAAAATGATTACAAATTGATCATTCAAAATATTGTCCATTGCTAATCACTATTACCCATAAATTAATCCATTTTTTGATATCTTCATAAGAATGGAAGCTCAGACAGATTATGAGTCATCGATTGAAATAGATGGTAATTGGAAGAAGCAATATCTCAAGAATACGACGGATGTGATAGGACATCCTAGTTAAGGGCTTCTAATATTTCTTTGACCGGTTTCGCAACAGGTGACCGAGCATTGTCGTGCTAGATGCTCATAATACACTACCCAGCTGATCCCACTAAATACAGAGCATGAGCTTGGAGCCATGAATATTCAGCTTTGCCATCAATGTTAATGGTTCGCCTGGTCTGCACCATGATTTTTTGCGCTTCGAAATATCGTAGCGTATCCATTTTTTATCACCCGTCACGATACGATGCAAAAAACATTTTCTTTTGTGTCTTTGAAACAACAATTCACAGGTCATTTTGCGCCTTTTGATGTCCCTCGGCTTCCAACTCATACGGCACCCAATTTTCTTTCTGCTTTTGAATCATTTCAATGACCTTCAAACGTCTGGAAATCGTTGATTGATCAACATTTAATGATTCTCCAAGTTATTTTTGCTCAGGTCTTGATCGAGCTTCTACTTCTTCATCTTCAAACTTTTTCGGCTGGCCTAGACGTTCCTTGTCTTCTGTGTCAAAATCACCTTTTTTATAGGAACCAGTTGAATCAAATGTTGAAATCGATGGAATATAATCATCATAAGCTTCCATCACAGCATTCGTTGACTTTCAGCAGCACTTTTTTTCAAATAGAAGCAAAAAAGTAAAGTTTCCCGCAAATTGCGTTGGCACAAAATTCGACATATTCAATGTTAAAAAAACAATGTTATTTACACTTCGACAAAATGACATACTGAAAACTAAAGCCACGTGATAGTGCTTTGAACATGAAGATAGTAACAATATGGCCCGATAGTATTACCATAATAACGCCATTTCTTGAAAATCCTTTAAAATTAATGCACATTCCCAATATATGGACATATTAATTAATGAATATTCAAATGTGGAATTTAAGAGTCATTTGATAAAATAAATATATATGCATTTTCTGCAATTAAATATAATGTATACATTTTTTTATTTCCTAGATCGAATATTTTGCGTTGTGCTTTTTTAGGCGATGCCATATTGCACTGTAACTGCCTCACCTTGAAAGCTGCAGTAGTCGCAGTGGCAATATGGCTATCATTTATGACGTTATTGAAGGAACTAGACACTATCGCAGCGCCCTGCGTAGTAATAGCGGAACAATTTTTTAGTACTGCCAGTACTGGCAGTATATATCTGAACACACTCTGTGAAAGCTTGTGTTTTCTAGTGATAATTACATATTACTAACTGTGCGGCGGCTATAAATGAGATTGGAAGACGTTGAGTGGCCGACACTTTTAAGGCTTAAACACAATAGGTACAGGCAATAGGCATAGGCAAAAGGGAATAACGAGCCGTCCAATCAGAGCTCTGGTGTATAAATTCGATATTATATCCCAGAGCTCTGATTGGCCCGTTATTCCTTGTTGCATGTGCCTATTGTGTTTAAGTCTTTATTTTTTTTGTTTAATATAGGGGGAAAAAGCTACATTTAATCTAACTTTATCCGAAACGTATCTCAACCGTGCACAGCGTACACATTCTAGGCTCCTATTTTTGAAAAGTATCCCATACAAAAAACTAAAGAAGTGCTATAATATATGTTACAAATACTATAGTACATCTTTAGCTTTTGCTATGCGATACTTTTCAAGAATAGGGGCCTATTCCAATTGAATCGTGCATAATGTTACACTTTGTACATTCCTGTATATGTTTGTGTTAAAATATGTTGTTACGTCCAAACTCAGGAAAATGGATTTAAAGAGAGAAGGGAGTAGAAAGGATGGAGTGTGGAAGGACGGTCAGACTTTTGTCTCGCAGGTATCCGCACAGAAGCAAATACTGCGAATCGAACGCACCCTTTTTATTGCTCGCTTCGGAATATGGGTCAACGTCTCGTAAAGACGCTATGACACCTGTTTCCTACGAGCGGTGCGATCGTCGATCCGAATTTCGAGTCAGGGAAATCCCTTTAACTCGGGAATGGACTACGTGCGAGCTCTGAAAGGGCAAGGTTTAATGATTACGAGGTTTTATTAGGGGGTTTCAAAAGTGAACGAGAGCGAGAAGAATAATTACTAACATTATTTATTGTTGCTTATCAATAAAGTAGTTAAAACGAATAGCTGTAGTGTACTTTTTCTTGCGTTTTTCTTATATTCGCAAAATGAAATGGTACGCTACAGGACTGTGATGGGAAGAAAACGAATGAAACTTTTTTTACAAGTTCGCATGAGTTTGCGAGTCCACGTGTACTTAAATATGTCATCGTGACGATCGTTTTGCATTCCTCGAGTGTTAAAACAGATAACGTATATAAGCCAAATAATGCAAACGACATCTGTTTGTAATAAGAATGGTGACGAACAAAAGATGAGTAAGTTGTAGCTGCATATATACGCTCGCTATAGATAACAATAAACATTTTAAATACAGTTTTTAACGCACGTAGGCAACCAGAAGGTTCATTACATGAAAATTATAAAAGTCAGCAAATATACTAAGTGTTGACCAAGGAAATTATAAAGATTTTAGCCCGTTGTTCATAGTCGATTTTCATATTCAAGACTATCCTTAAGATGTCATGATTCAATAATTGAGAATGGATTAAAATACATTGAAATTGTTATGGATATTTTAAATAGATTGAATTCAATTGAATAAAAAAAAAACTTTTTTTTTGTTTATTTGGATTCAATTATTAAAAGTATTAAAAAACTGCATTTCCTATTAACTCTTCATTTTTTTTTCTAGTTATAAGAATTAGAAAAAGTTTAATCGAGATTAAAGTTAATCTACATTAATAAAAATAGACATTAGTGAATTTGCTAACTTTCATTTGTAATTTGTAATTTTCACTAAAATTTGTAATTTTCACCTCATTTCAGAATACACAATTATAATCGACCCCGATCAGTAAAAGGTATTGATTGTGTATTTTGAAATGAGATGAAAATTATAAAAATGAAGTTAATTAATTTACTAGGTATTTTGACTAATGAAATTATAAATAAATCCGCTTATTATAGTAATAGTATAATAAATTCGCTTATTTTTGTAATTTTTACCTTATTTTAAAATACACAATCAAGAAAGAGTTTGAAGTAAGAAATGAACATATCGTATCCATAAAATTCGCCTAATCTAGAGCGACAAAGAGGGACAGCAGGAAAGATAAGGAAGGACAGAAATGTCCTAATCAAGCATTAAATTCCCATCCGATTTCATAAAGACGTGCTCATTTGCAAACACAATTAAATTACGAGACTGCAATAGATATCGCGGATATCACTTGATTATTATAATATTGATTAACGATGAATTAATCGTAGTTTAGTCGCAGTCACTCTCTTCTCCATTTTTTTTATATCACAAATGACTATTTCAACCAATATAGATTAACTTTAATCTTAATTTAACTGACTTTTTTTACTTCTCTTTAGTTCTAAGAATTAGAAAAATATGAAGAGAGAAAATTTTCAATCGGGGTTAATCTATATTGATAGAGAAATGAACCGAGGTTAATCTATATAGTTGTGAGAGCGACTGCGAAAAACTAAACTCCGATAACTCACTAATCGATAATTAACTTGTCAAGTGATATCCATATGATATCTTAATCGTTAACGAACAAGGTTGGATCTTAATTTCTTTGTACGTGATTTTATATTCAATACAAAAAGAAGAATCCTGTATTATACAATTTGAATAATTACCTGTTGTTTTGTATTTTTTTACAATAAATGGGGCGGAAAATAATACAGTATATAATTTATATGCATTTTTTCCATCAAATCCAATAGTGCTATTATTTTGATTCAAATCAAATTCTTGTTAATTGTTTAAACGATAATTGTTTAAACAAATTGTATGTGATAATTTTGATTTTAGAATTCATAATGAGCGACCTCATAAAATCATTACATGCAGATGATTATTCAATTAATTACATAAGCAGTCCTCAAAGGATTATATTTATCTAATTTAAGTTTTCTTCTTTTCAATGTTACTGTTCTCCAATTCTAGAATTGGAAAGAGATGAAAGATAAGTACTCATGCAGCATAAAATATTAAGAAATGTTTTAAGAAAAATATTTTTTTTTAATATTACAAGTATTATTTTAAAAAGGTTTTAGTAATATTTTAAAATGTTTTAGAGATTTGGAAAGATTTTTAAATTGTTTTAAAACATTTTGTGGTAATATTTTCAAAAACATTTTTAAAAACATGTTAGAAACATTTTAAAAAATTACTTTATCATTTAGAAAATATTTTCTAAAATATTGTCAATATACAATATTTTTAAAATATTAAAATAATTTTAAAATAATTTTAATAAAATTTTTTTAAATTGCTTGATTTTTCTTACAACATGAAGCTAATTACTACGAATGCGTTCCGTTTCCATGAGCGATAAAGTCTGTGCCAAAATTTACTGTCAGTACTAAAAATCTGTAATTTACGTTACTTAAAATAGTCATTTCATCCATATATATATTGGATCGTGACATCATAAATGACGAGAAATGACATGTTGATTTTTCTTGCATATTATTTGTAAATAAAGAGAATTTAGTCATTTAAACCAAATAACAGAGCTTTAAACACTTGTAATAATGGGTAAAGATTCTCCTTATCTCCCCTGACAGTCAGTAAAAGAATCGAAAAAGAATCGTGAAGTAGAAATAGGTATACGTATGCGTATTGAGTAAAAACTAGTAAACGCACGTTACATGCCTTTTATTATTATTTACTGACTGTCGGAACAATTAAGGGACATAAAAATAGTCTTCGATTATTTTTACAAATGTTCTAAAGCGATCTCATACCATTTCATTTTATCCAAATTGTCTTTATTTACAAATGGCATATAAGAAAAATCAACGTGTCGCTTATGACACATTTCTCACTTATGACGTTACGATTCAATATGACTGGAGTGAGTATTCAGAAGTCTTAGGTACT